GTTCCCAAAATCTAATATCCGATTGGTCAGCATGATCGTGGTTACACATCATGTTTATTCTTCACCCACTATTAAAATCATACCGTCGAAGTCACTAAATTATACTGTTGAAATCACTAACCCACTTTTGAAATTTCAAATCACCCAATGCTAGAACTATGAATCATCTCACTATTAAAATCTTTATTAAACCACTAACCTATCAATGTTAAATGTACTAACTGCTATACAGTTAAACAGTAAACTCCAATATTTGAACCACTAATTCACTTTTGAAATCACTAATATATTTACTGGCATAGCCGAACATGTGTCAAGGTTGGCGGAGCAGCTCTCCTGAACTACGAATCAGTTTTCAAGATTAGGTGTATACCAAAAATCGCTCATAGCTTAAACATCAGCATAAGAAACCACCTTTTGTACTCTAACAAAAGTTTTCGTTAGACAATTTTACTGTATATAACTACTCTACTCAAAATCCTAACCCTGACCCTAATCCTAACCTTACCGATTTTAAGAATTTTGCCTACCATGTACACATTTTCGGTAAGCTTATTATCAGGCCAACCCAACTTTATAACAAAATGGTTGCCGACAAAATAGTTTCTAAATTTGACCTACGCAGTACCATAATCATAGCCAATTTTATAAGACACTAAACGAAAAATTATTTTAGCACTTAACTTATATACAGTACCTATTATAATCAAACTTATTTGAACGCCCTAAATAAAGCACTTCGTTCCTGGTTTTAGCGCGACAACATCGTACAGTTGCCTAATTTCGTAAAATTAGGTGTTTCTGGAATATTATATTTGATCCAACATGCTTATTATTTGTACCATTTATCTTTGCTTTCTAAAATCCTGTTAATTCATAATATAGTAATACAGGAGCTATAAATGGATCTTATTTTGCGGCGATAACTTTTACCCCAATTACTACGCCTGTTATCAGAAAAGAAATTGAACAAAGGTAAATAATCTTAAGTAACTCCATTTTATTAATATTAATCATCACTTACAAATAATACTGTATTACAAAATAATGATAACAGAAGCAAATCTGTAAGTAATATGCATATATTTAATTTTTTAAACAAAAAATATTTAATTGTTATTTTAAATAATAGTTTTTAGGTTTACTAGGTGTTATTGGTGGCATTTGGAGTTTCATGGTAGCCTTTTATATATTTTTATTTGGTAAGTTGATATAAATCACAGTTGAAAAATTAATTTATTTACTTATTAATTTTTTTATTAAAAAATAGGAATTGGTGTAATTTCACCATGGGATTTTGTACAAAAATCAAGGCTATTCAAAGATAAATATAGAGCAAAACTCTTACCGTTGGCAGTGGATTTACAATCTGAAGAACCTGATATTAAAGAAACATCTGACACCAAAGAATATGAGATTTCCTCAATCCGAAAAGAGCTTGATAATTTAATAAAGAAAGTCCGACTTTATGAAAACATTGTCGATACCTCAATATTAAACTCTAATGAAACGAATGCATCTCCCACTATTAACATTAGCGTTTCTCCCTAAGGTGGTACAGTGT